AAAACGCATAAAAAAGGTAAGCTGCAGAGCTTAGATTTTGCAGCTCAAAACAAGATATAACACAGCGCAAATACGTCGAAATACGCAAGTTAACTTCACTGCGTATTAAAAATATGCTTTTAAGTATAAGTCCGGACTGATATTTTGGTCCGGGGATAAAGAAATTGAAAATCGGATTCTGATAAAGAGATCAGACCGGTTGCTACCTGTTTTTACACGTGCTCACGTATCCAAAACGCCTTAAATATCTACAACATTCAGAAGCAAAAAGGCACGAAAGCATCAGTTACCGAATGCCCGTCATTTTTTTGTTCAATAAGTAAACGCTAATAATTGGTCAACGCACTGACTGCCGGTGCGAAGATGCGTTTTTTTGTATAGTTCCCCGCAGGTTTTTGTCGCTAACGGCACCGGTTACCATGCACACTCGAGGGCTGGGTTTGAACTCATTAATACTTACTTGGACATGAAACATCCCCTTAAAATTCCAGTCTTTTAGGTTTTCAGGTTGCCGAGTTAGCAGCTTACCCAAAAACTTTGGCGGGTCCGTACGTAGGCACTACGCGGGTAAGAGCGCCCTTTTTGGAAATGGGGGCCCGTACACGCATGTAGATTAAGTTCCCAAAGTTTCAGCCCTGAAGCTTTTGTAGGTCTCGAGATGAAAAATCGGTATAGACGAACACACACACACACAATCTCTCGTCATTATGCGTCTTCTGCACTGCGTAGATGCAAAAAACGCATAAAAAGTAGCGGTAACCTCAGTTGTTCAACTGCATATGCTGCATGTCTCCGTATAATCGGTGTCTGCGCTGATGCTTCTTGTTGCAAAACAACGGCCAGTTTATCAAGTATACCTTGCGCACCGATGGCACAGCAGTAAGCGTGAATTCTATTTAGTTCCTACAAAAAAGTAATTGAATAAACTGATCTGCAACGTCGAAAAAAAAAAAAAAACAGGAAAATGTAGTTTGATGGATAAAATGCGTTTTTTGAAGATTAATATACAAATTTTCGAAGAGGAAACCAAAACTACGCTTTTTTTTTACCGTTGTTTGTTGGACCGCGAAGAGGAAAGGGAAAAGGTCAATGCCGCTAAGAAAAAGCATCACAGCGCAAAAACACAGAAAAGATATTCAGGTATGCCCCATCGCAATTTTAGTAACAATCATATTATCGTGTCATCTTGAAAACAAATTCCGTTGGCAGAACATGTCACCCGTCCTGCCCACAACAGTGGACGTCACGTATTAGTGAATGGTACCCGCAAGAAAGTAAACGACCACCAGTACGGCCTTCGAAATGATGGAGCATATATGTCAGACAATCGGCGAGTTCAAATTTGAAATATTCAGTTCAGCATCAAAACGCCTGGCACATTTATGTTCAGCGTGTATAATATCTCAATATTTACATGAAATATCCACTCTAACTGCCCGGGCAATATTGGTAAATATACCATGCCACCAAGATCGCAGAGACAATTCACTGTTTCAGTTACGGGAGCGACGAAAAAACTATCCGCTAATGATAATGGTGCAAAAGTACCACAAAATGGAACATTACCGCTGTCAGCAAGAAATCAAAGTAATTTTATGAATTTACAGTTACCCTAACTTTCCTTTACAGCATTTTGCTTACATTATACAACCGTATAATTTTTAGCAAGCTTACGGGACTAAAAAAAATTTTCAGTGATCAGGACCCCTTTAAACAAAATTCAAGGTAGCAACGTACCGAATAAAACATGAACAATCTATCGGGGATTTTCTTTAATAACCGAACAATTTTCTGGAAATCACTTTGGAGTCCATGTGCATCCGACCAGCAAGTCCTCTGTACCGACGAATACGATGGTCGCGCAAGACCGTCATTTTGAACACAGAATAACGGCCCTTCGCTTGCATCATCCACAGCACTCTGCAAAATGTGCATAACAATACCCAAGGTAACCGAAATAGCTGTTAATTCATAGTTTGGTTCTCCAAAAGCTGCTTGACTCTGCAGCATCAAATAGCCCATCTGCAGACAATTTTGACGTTTGTATCATTCTCTGTGGGGATTTCCAGTTGAATCGTTCCCTCTACAACTGTACTTGGCAAGGCTTTGATTATTTTCAAGATGTTAGAGGTATGTGGAGCATTACCACCTTGTCTCGAATTCGCCAAACTTTGATTACGAAGAGTAAATAGGAGACAAAGTATATATTAGAAGAAGCAATAATTAATGTTAAAAAAAGATCTCTAAACAGTTTCAGAGTGAAATATGTGACGGAAGCATTTGCCGTGTGGGTACATCCCAATAACATTCGATTCCCATGCCTATTGTGCAGCCAATCATGGTAAACTCCGCAAAACTGAGACTAGCTTCATGCAGCGGCTCATTTGCGAAGTTGTATCTTTAAAAGCAGTGAAGCAAACCTGGCATTTGATTTTCTTCAATGAGGGGACCCAAAATACGGGCTTTGATCCGAACGGGAACAACTCAAGACAAAGTCGATCTGCTGGAGCTTCATCCTCAGCGAAACTGTAAAAAAAAGCACAACTGAAACAGGCACTCCGATTCAACACAATTCGCTGAAACCCTGCAGGAGGTATTCCCGACATTCGTCTGCGCTATGAGTCAACAAACAGTATCGCAGACGTAACACAAAGTATTTTTTTAGCAGATAATTCAAGAGCGAAATGATATTGCCATTCCGGATTTTTAGTATATCATGCGGATGTTAACAATTTTTGACCAGGGTTAACAGCCCGAAATGTGGTGCTTTTTGCAATGCCCAAGAAGCGCATACATATCTGTCAAAAATACTAGTATCTGACGCAGATGATAACATTTCTTGGTATTCTTGGTGCATATATACACAGCTCGAACGACAGAATAAAGCAGTTCCGAACCAAAGAGCCTTCTTCATAGACTAATATATTACCTTACTTTTTGTAAGTATAATGTATTAGTCTGTAAAGATATATTTTATCTTTTTTGTGAGGTAACATGTTAGTCTGCGAAGACACTCTGGCCGTTACTTTTTATGCGTTTTTTGCAGCTATGCAATGCGAAAAACGCACATTGACGAGAGGTTGTCTGTGTGTGCGCTGCGCGTCTGTACCGATTTTTCATCTCGAGACCCACAAAAGTTACAGGGCTGAAAATCTGGGGACTTAATTTACATGCACGTACGGCCCCCAATCCCCAAAAAGGGCGGTCTTTCCCTCGTGGTACCCACGTAAGAGCCCGCCAAAGTTTTTTACGAGTAAGCTGCTAACTCGCGAACCAGAAAAGCCAGAGAGCTAAAATTTTATGGAACTGTTCCCCGTTCAAGTAGGTACTAATCAGCTCAAACCCAATCCCCGGCTAAGCGTGGTACCCGCGTACGGGCCCGCCAAAGTTTTTTCCGGGTATGTTCATAACTCGGGAATCTGAGATGCTAGAAAGCTGAAATTTTAAGGGAATGGTCCCCGTCCAAGTAGGTGTTAATGAGCTCAAACCCAACTCTCGAGCGAACGCGGTACCCACGTACGGGCCCACCAAAATTTTCCCCGAGTGAGTTCATAACTCGGGGATCTGAGATGCTAGAAGACTGTATTAAAAGGATATTCCCTGTCCACATTAGTCTCAACGAGCTCAAACCCAGCCCTCGGTCATTCGTGGTACCTACGCACCGGATCACCAAAGTTTTTCTCGGGTAAGTTCATAACGCGAAAACCTGAAAAGCTAAGAAGCTGTAGTTTCAGGAAGATGTCCCCCGTGAAAGTAAGTCTCAACGAGCTCAAATCCAGACTTCGGGTATGCGTGGTACCTGCGTGCAAGCTTGTGAGAAATTTTTTCTAGTAAGTTGCTAACCCAGGAGCCAGGAAAGCTAGAAAGCTGAAATTTCAAGGGGGTGTTTCCTGCCAGTTTTGGCGGGCAGTCTCAATTTTTTTAGCTAGATCGGACGAAAAAACCGATGCCGGAAGCGACAGAAACTGCGGAGAACTATGCAAAAAACGCACCATCGCACGGACAGCCCGTGCGTTGGCCAATTATTATAAAATGACATCAGCATGAAGAAAGCTTTTCGGAGAGGAAGAATTAACCTTAGCGCATACAAAGCTCCATAGAGATTATTCTTTATTCGACATATTGCCACATATTCCTCAGCACGCAATCCTTCACAGAGCATGCACAGCAATTCCGATTTGCCCGCTGCTGCTGAAAGAAAGCTTACTTCCAAATATTCTTATGTGACAGTTAGCAAAATGGTTAATCCATAGCGACATACGTTCAGGAATCACTATAAAATAATGTCGAGGCGATGGCACATTTGCCAGAACATTCGCGGGCATGAAACCAACGATAGTGATTGTTTTACTCCATTCGTCCTGGACCACTGCTGGATGCACCTGAAATCCGTAATGTGTAGCAAGACTAAGGACAGTCTAATTTTCTAACCAGCTGACACCAACATCTACGCTGGATAGGCTCAACGGTATCTCATTCACTGAGAAGAGGGCTCATTTACAGTTCTGCTCATTCGGATCGTGACTTCTTGATTGCTTCACTCAATCAGAACACGAACCAAACACAGCTTCAGCAATGAAATCGTAACCTATGATACCTCATCCAGAAGCGGTAGGACTTAGCCACTATTTCAATCAGTGAATTCCACATATCTTAACCAAATTGCTCACTGAAAATGAAAATCCTCGCGCAATTCTCTTAGCAGGAATGAAACTCTTTGATCACTTCACCCACCTGAAAGACACACACAC